TAAAAAATAAAAATCATGACATATATTTTTAAAGAATATTTACTAAAATTACCCACTAAAATATGGGCCTAGCCTCAATAATTGACAACACCACCATCCCTGTCGGTTAGAACCTTCTAGGAACGTAGCATCCTGATCCTAGGGGAAACTCTCTTTTGTTCTTTTTTTTAATTATTATTTTATTTAAAAAAAAAAACTCTGTAAAAAATATCTCTAATATAATGGAATATATAGCAAATAATATGTAAGATCTGACGGACAATAATACTGGTAACCGAAGTATCAAACACGTAAATTAACTAATCAAATCATAACTTTACTTTTAAAACTCCGCAACTTAGTTCGTTTGGTTCATAGATTAGAACCATGTGATTAGAATTATTTTTGATTTACGTGTATTTTTTGTAAGAAAAAATACTGTAACGAACCACGAATCATGATTCGAATCAGGGAACGAATCCCTTTACCAAACGAAATTTGTTTTTTTTTTTTACCACTCATCTTCAGATACACAGCCCCGCCCCAAGTCTGCATGCTCGCTTTTAGATACACAATACTACTCCAAGCTTCGACTTACCTTCAGAAGCATGGTGTTACTTGACACTACTTTGCTTGCCTTTACTCCACAACTTATTTGTAAAACTATTAAGAGTGCGTTTATTTTAAGAGTTTTACATGGTTCGAGCTATGATTTTAATTTTGTTATAATATTTTTTTTTCATAAAAAATTTAAATTTCTAAATATCAAAATCATGAAACATGATTTAAACCTAAAAATTATGATTTGAACCCAAGAACCAAATGGATTCTAAGTTTCAATCCCATATCCTATTCCATATCGGATTACACAAGTGCAAAGGTTGAGAGCAACACAACTAAGTCTAACTAAATTGCTCATAATATATTTCTCTCACAATAAAATATGAACCATGACATGCAATTTCTTAACATGTAAATCCTAAACCTAGGCAAAGGTCTAAATATATCCTTCTAATTTAGGGTCGAATCTCCTCAAGATGTGATTTCAAAATCTATTCCATCTTCAAATATCTTCAATTCGAATTCAAACTGGAAATCTTATTGTTGATGAACCTGACCATGTTGGTGACAAACGTTGCTGATGCGTTATCTTACTGTTTCAAAATACGACGTTATATTTGTGAACAAAATTCAAACATACCAAAATGATCAAAGAGTAGTAAGGTTATAAGTACAAATCAAAAAACAAAATTCTCTCAAAAAAGAAAATAAAAGAAAATGCGTAAAATCCTAGAAATAAACATCTACTTTGATAAGTGAAATACTAAATTGATAGTGTTCTCTAAAAAAAAGAAAAAGAAAAAATCCTTAGTGAATAAAATATTACCCTGAAATTTTAAAAAATAACTCTAAATTTTAAGAATTGTCTCTAGTCAGGCACTTAGAAAGTGTCTGATCGGAACGGCAGTTGTATAATTCTGCATAAATTATGTATATTTATATGTAAATCGTACATATTTACATGTAAAGTCGTGTATATTTAACATGAAATACAACAAATCAGCCAATATACATATTTTCATGCTATGTGTTCACTAATTGCTATAAAAAATACATGTTTTGAGGATTAATATACATTGTCGTTTCTTATAACTTAGAGAAATAGTAGAAAATAGGCCAATATGAAAAGCTTAAGAAAGTATATAGGCCAATTTTTAGTTATATAAATTAATAGGCCATAACTTGTCAAGTTATGGTTCATAACCAGATAAGTTATAGACAAACTTGTCAAGTTATGGTTCATAGCCAGACAAGTTATGGATAATTATGGACAATAACTTGTCAAGTTATGGTTCATAACCAGACAAGTTATGGACGAAAATAGTAATTTGGCCTATTTATTAATTTATGTAAACTATTAGCCTATTAATTTTAATTCATATCAAATCTTGGCCTATTTTCCTCTTTATCCCTATAACTTAACATGTAAATATACACGACTTTATATGTAAATATATACAATTTACATGTAAATATACACAATTTATGCAGAATTATACAACTGTTGTTCTGATCAGGCACTTTCGACCAGAGACGTTACCCTAAATATTAAACCCCTAATCATATTTCCGCAATCAATACCAAGTTGATAAACACCAAAGTCAAAGTTCACAACCGGATCACTGAAGCCCCAACCGGAAGCCGATAACCTAGAAGATCAGAGTTCACAACCGTCAAGAAAAATTGAGTTCATCGTCAACCTGCAAAAGGAAAATCTAAAGAAAAAAATAAAAGAGGGAGTGGACTAGTGCTGGGGTTATGGGGCCAATTGCGCTTGATGGACTAACCGCTAAGGGCTTAACAGCCCGACCCATTGGCAATGATGTGCAATCCTTCGTGTCCGCCCACTGCTTAGCATGGGGTTCTGCACTGCCATGAGGTTTAAGGAAATAAAGTTGCACCTTGCCTAATAGCTATAACTTTTGGTCCAGTAGCAAGTGCTTAATATTAAGTCAACAAGGAGGTCTAAGGAGAAAAAGGGGAGAGGGAAAGAAAAAAAGAAAAAATTTAAACTCTAAGGGTACGTTTTAAAGGTATATTTAAATCATGATTTTTTATTTTAATGTTTAAAATTTAAATTTTTTGTTAGAGAAAAATATTGTAGTAGAATTAATAATTTGAGTTTGAATAAATGAAACAAGCGAGCCCTAAATCTATTGAAAACTAAAATAGACTTAGTTATTCTCTTTTTAGACTTTGCCTTTTATTAGACAATTTTATTGCTTTGGGTTGGATTTTTTTCTACTTTTTTGCGCAATTTTTTGAGAAAGAATAAGAAATATTACTCAAAATGATAAAAAAATATTATTTATATCATTTCACTCAAATATAAACAATTGTCAAGGCCATAATGACACCCAATTATTTAGAATAACATAAATAATAGGTATGCACAAAATCATGACAAACTATCTACTTTTCTCCATTTTCTTCAATATAATGGAGAAGTACTGAATGAGAAAATTACTAAACTTACCTTTAAAAATGCACGAGTACTCTATATTTTTATTCCTTACTCTTGATTAATTCCCTTTTGACTAATATAGTACTTGATGAAAAATGTATTAATTAAGAGTAAGGGGTAAAATCAAGACCTATACAATCTAAGGGTATTTGTCTCATTTACTCTAATGAATCTGAATTGTGGATTTGATAAAGGGATGAGATATCTATAGGTGTCAGTGTAGTTTGAATGTACTATTAAGAATAAAAAGTAAAATTAATTTTTAAATACAAAAAGTTATACACTACATATAATAAAATTGAAAAGAATTATTAATTATCATATAATTTCTCTTAGTAAGTCGTAGAACTTCTCCTTTGATCTTACACTACAATACAAAAAAAATACATCAACTCTCGAAGGAGAAAAGAAATTAGACTAGAGAAAAGAAAACCTTCTAGAAAGATCAAACAATCCAAGAGGATCTATCCGCTCTAAAAAAGTTGGGGGTCTCATTACAACTCTACAATGAACAAAACGTATCGAGGAAAAAGAGCGCATGATTCAAGATAATGAATGACTAAACACAGCATCATTAATGGTGAACGTACGAATCTATAAAAGGAATCAAGTTCCTATTCTCGAAGGAGACAAGGAAATGAACTTGAGATCAGGAAGACCACCAATTTGTATATAATGTAGCATATAGTTAACAAGAAACTCGTGCGTATATATCCAAATAACTAATTAATGAAGTGTGTCAAGGCTCAAGAAAAATCCATGATGACATAATGAAGCTAAGCGAGTCATAAGCTGTATATTTACAAATGGAAAGAAATACAATCATATATGTGATCATTCGATATAAGTAGTACTCATGGGCTCTATAGTTAATTTGAACATTAATATATATATATATATATATATATATATATAATATGAGATCTCTTAATTGATCACATGTCCTTCTGCTCATGGCTCTTGTTTGAGGAACATGGAAGGAACCATATCCTGCAAAAGTCCATACGCATCATCATGATCACCTTGCATCTGATGATCACCATCGTAGTACTGTTTATGATCACGAGAGTTTGCGTTTTGTCCATAAATCGCAGCTGCTGGTGATGATGATCCACCTTGGTTGTTAGTACTACTCATGATGATGTTATTGTACGGAAATTGATGAGGCATTTGGAACAGAAGTTCCTGGCCGGAGGAAAACAGTCCACCTCCACCGGCCATCGTTGTTGATGATGTCGGTCCAAACATGTTGGGCGGGAACATGGCGGCGGGGGGGCATGTACTATTAAGAATAAAAAGTAAAATTAATTTTTAAATACAAAAAGTTATACACTACATATAATAAAATTGAAAAGAATTATTAATTATCATATAATTTCTTTTAGTAAGTCGTAGAACTTCTCCTTTGATCTTACACTACAATACAAAAAAAATACATCAACTCTCGAAGGAGAAAAGAAATTAGACTAGAGAAAAGAAAACCTTCTAGAAAGATCAAACAATCCAAGAGGATCTATCCGCTCTAAAAAAGTTGGGGGTCTCATTACAACTCTACAATGAACAAAACGTATCGAGGAAAAAGAGCGCATGATTCAAGATAATGAATGACTAAACACAGCATCATTAATGGTGAACGTACGAATCTATAAAAGGAATCAAGTTCCTATTCTCGAAGGAGACAAGGAAATGAACTTGAGATCAGGAAGACCACCAATTTGTATATAATGTAGCATATAGTTAACAAGAAACTCGTGCGTATATATCCAAATAACTAATTAATGAAGTGTGTCAAGGCTCAAGAAAAATCCATGATGACATAATGAAGCTAAGCGAGTCATAAGCTGTATATTTACAAATGGAAAGAAATACAATCATATATGTGATCATTCGATATAAGTAGTACTCATGGGCTCTATAGTTAATTTGAACATTAATATATATATATATATATATATATATAATATGAGATCTCTTAATTGATCACATGTCCTTCTGCTCATGGCTCTTGTTTGAGGAACATGGAAGGAACCATATCCTGCAAAAGTCCATACGCATCATCATGATCACCTTGCATCTGATGATCACCATCGTAGTACTGTTTATGATCACGAGAGTTTGCGTTTTGTCCATAAATCGCAGCTGCTGGTGATGATGATCCACCTTGGTTGTTAGTACTACTCATGATGATGTTATTGTACGGAAATTGATGAGGCATTTGGAACAGAAGTTCCTGGCCGGAGGAAAACAGTCCACCTCCACCGGCCATCGTTGTTGATGATGTCGGTCCAAACATGTTGGGCGGGAACATGGCGGCGGCTGCAGGAGCCGCCGCCCCCGGCGCCGGTTCTCCGGGGGGGGCCGGGCCCCCCCCCCCCCCCCAGCCGTAGCCGCGTTTCCTCGGAGTGCGGACGGGATGGGGTGGTTGTGCTGGCCTTCGTACGTCGTTATCACTATGGACGGATCCTGAAAAGATCTCTCTACGCGTTTCTTGACGCCGCATTTTTGAGTGGTGCAACGATAGTAGCTTCTGCGCGCACAACATGAAATGATGGCTATGGCTAAGACTTTTCATGCATATAAAATATATATATACCAATTGGAAACGACAATTTAGTGGTGTATATATATAAAATGGTTTCGTTGGGAAAAAGTACTTTGAGAGACGAAAAGTTGGAATCTTGACATTTGTTCAAACCGGGATTGATGTTGCTTGCATTGCATATAAAGTTGCAAGATGAAAGAATTAAAAAGAAAATTACTTTGGGGGTCTTGTTTACATACAACTACCACCTTGGCTTTACATTAACTATTATTTCTTTCCTCCATCACTTTCTTAATTAGCAACATAGTAAAGAAGCCAAATTAAGGACCAGTTGATCAAACCCTAGATCAATAATTCGTACTCTAATTTAATTTCCTGACAAATTAATTAATGAAAAATTAATTTCCTTGAAACCAGACCTTGGATATGGGCTATTTTTCACAGCCTTCTGTCCATACTTTCTCCATCTATATCCATCTTCAAGATGATCAACCTCACTCTTGGTCATGAAAGCAAACCGTGGCTCTTTTTGCCTTTTATTATCCCCTTTCTTCTTTGCTTTGCCCCTGTTGATCATTCCATTCATATGATCAAGATCAAAATAAGTCTAAAAAATAAATTATCCATGTTAATTTGTAGCTAAGCATGAACTTAATCTTTCAAAAATAAAGAAAAAGAAGGGGGTTATAATAAAATTACACTTTCTTTGGGTCGTCTTCTCCATCTTCTAACGACTCTTTTGGTTTCCCATCTTTCTTCCCCGGAGAATCCTCTTCTGCACCAGCCTCAGTCGAAGAAGACGAAATCGAATTTGAGTGATCACGTGCGGTCACCGGATTTTGATCGCTACTACTATTACTACCTAAATGATCTCCAAGACTAGGATGATGATGATGATGATGATCAAGAGGCTTTTGATGATCATTAACTTCAATGGACGAAAATACCTCAGAAGATGAAGGAGACAAACCAAAAGCCGTACTTGTGATTAGAGAATTGTAGTCCATGGATGATCCTTGTAAACACTCTGTGAAACTCATGTATGAAGTGGGAATCACATCAAACCCTTGTAGATTATAAGGCGTTGAACTTGATGAAGACATGTTGGAAGTGGAAAGCTTCGAAGAAGAAGTTAAATATTCTTGATCGACCTGAAAAAGTTGATCATGGCCGTAGTAAAGATCTTTATAAAGTGGTTCATGATCAGACATGGAAGCTAGCGAGAGACTAGAAAATGAAGAAGAAGACGAAGAAAAAGAAGGGGTCTTTGACAAGGAAGCTTGTGGCGGTCTAGCTAGGCTATATCTCTAGTGTGTTTTCGTCTCAAGACTGCTATTGTTGTCCCTCTACATGTGGTTTGAGTGTTATTATATATTGGGTAGACAGAGAGAGAGAAAGAGAGAGAAGTCACAAAGTTTGAATGGAACTTGTTATTATCACTTTATAAAGCTGGTTGACAAAAACAACCTTCCAATCACAGCACCAAAAAGTGCCTTCTTGTATGGAAACATTACTTGCTAGTCGTTCTTGCTAAGCTAATAATATTATTTTAGCCCTCTTAGGAGACTCGGTTTGGTTTTCCCTCGGTTTTCTTTTTTCTTTTGCCTTTTTTTTTTTAATAGAATAAATTAGTGTTTATTTTCATATTTTATTATTAACACAGATCCCTAGGTTAATTACTAAAAAATCTTGCTTTCTCATTAGAGGATAAAATAATTAAAATACTTGATCTTGTCATGGTATTCTTTCCTTGGAACTAAAATGGCGTGATATGCATGCACATTTTTATTGTATATGTATAATGAGATAAACTAGTAAATTTTCAAGATTGTTAATTGTTATATTTAATTATTCAAACAAGCACTCATAATTGGCGCTGCAATTAAAATATATATACTCTCAAAGATTGCTACATGAGATTTAAAGCTTGTCCGTTTCTTGCATGGAATTTAGTAAGAGTAAGGTGTCAATTATCTCTACTGACAATATTCTCTAAGGACGTGGATAATCATGAGAGAATGTATTTCTTGACTAAGAAAAAAAAAAAAAAAAAAAAAAACCAAACGAAAAACTTACGGAGAGAAAAAACTTACGGAGAGAAAAATGGGTTTTGCCGAGTATAGGAGCAAATACACACTTCGCGTAACAATTAAAAAGTACTAAATAAAGCACATAAAATTGTCCTTATTTTGAGTTCGAAACGAAGAATTGTTTCTTAAACATGCTTTTTATGTCATGATTTTCTCTCATAATATGAAAAAAATTTAATGTAGGGAGACACATTTTCTGATTTTCTCTTTGCCCCCCATATTCTTTTTTCATAAATGTACTAGAAGCGCGTGACACACACGCGTGGGTTTGAATGTTAAAGTGTATTTATTATATATGCTTGACATAAGAAACAATAAGGACAGCGGGAGATAAGTCAGCGAAGACTACTTGCAAAAGGATAAAGGGCCAAGACAAGGGGGAGGAGGTTAAATTTGAACTTGAAGTTTAACTATTAGAAGATTTATCCACTATTTCCGCCTTTGACACACTATCGGTGTTTTCTGTTTTTTCAAACGTAATATTAAATTAAAAAATATATATAAAATAAATAAATTTTAATATAAATTTAACGGTTAAAAAATAAAAAATATCGGTATTCTTAAAAAAAAAAAAATATCAGAGAAAGTCCTATAAAAAAAAGATAATGATATAATTGTATTTGTGAAAACTTTTTGTAATATAACATTATTTTGCAAATATTATTGTCATAAGTTTGGTCAATCATTCAAACATTTTACACAAAACAGATGAGATTGATATATTGGGTGATTCGTGTGTGCGTTTTTGAGAATTTCTTTGGAATATTAGGCCTTACCACACCCACGTATGATGACTGGCACCGGCATTTTGACCATAGCCGACAACGTGACCCGGCACGTGGGACGTTTTTTCTCTCTCTTCTTTCTCTCTTTTCTTTTTCTCTCTCCTACGTTCTCCTCCTGCTGATGCTTACCCCACGTCACGGTCACTCTCTATCTCCCTCCGACTCTTGTCGGCCAATAGAAATTACGCCACGTGTCTGAAGAATTTTGCCATTTCCAGCATCGAATCCTGGCCGTTCATCCACGGATGATCGTGGGACTCGCTTGGGCAGACACATTAAAAGCGTGTTGTTATTACGGTTAGAAAGGTTTTTGGCTTTTTTTTTTTTTTTTTTTTTTTCTTAATTTTGACTAAATTAGTTGATTGTTTTCTAGATCTTTGTGGTAAATCATCTCCAAAATTTAATGAGAAATGACGAGAAAAACATTGGGTGCGTTTAGAATTGATTCCAAAACGTTTTTATTTTCTGTACGAAAATGAAAACGAAAACGTTTTTAGTTTCATTTTTGAATTATTTCTAAAAATGCGTTTGGTAGTTTTATTTAGAGATTGATTTCAGTTTTAAAAAAAACTGAAATTGCGTTTGGTGGTTTAATTTTTGAAAACATGTAATAATATATTAAATAAATAATATTATTAAATATATTAAATAAATAATATTATTAAATATATTAAATAATAACATTATTAAATAACGTTTTTGGTTTTGTTTTTAAAAAAAAATTGCACCAAACACGTTTTTAACACCCGTTTTTATTTTTTTACTTTGAAAACCGTGAAAAACGAAAACGAAAACGCAAACAAACAGGCCCATTAACTCTGGATCTTATTTTTTTATATTAATTCTAAGTTCTCATTCTTTTATGATCATTAATTGTTTAAAAAAATTGTCAAAACAGTTATTGATAAAAGATTATACTTGTCAGCAAAAAAAATGACAATTCAAAATTGATAAAAAAAAAAGTGTTTGAGATTCGTATTAATGTCTTTAACGCTATTCTTTAGTCTTTAATAAAATGGTACAATGGGTCTTCTAATCGTCGCACGAATAATGTTAAAATTTAAAATAAAGCGCTCCTATATGCGTGACATAATATGTATCCGGTTGTCATCGGTATTATATTTATGTTCTTTTCATTTAGGTACGACACACGGAATTATCTCTAACTAAGCTATGACGTACAATTTATTATTTTTCTTGTTTGGAATTTACGTACACTTTATTGATCCTCACAATAAATGATAAATATATGACAGTTTTTGGTAATAAATTGTCCTCAGCATAATCACAAAGAAAATACAATAAAAAAATGTGTAAAGAGTGATATAAATGATTGTCTAGTATACAGTGATCTCGGACGTACGTAGTTCATAATAAGTGAATATTTGGTTCATCTATTTAGAATTATAATTTAGAATTATTTACATTTTACGTGTATTTTTTGTGAGAGAAAATCACTATAGAAAATTATAAATCACGTTCAGAATCATGAATAAATATAAGAAACACACAACCTTAAGAGTTCCAAAATGTACGGCATTTGAAACCTTAACTCATCTCATTTAGTACTCATACGTTCGTTTCTGAATTTCTTTTATCTTTTGCCGTTTATCATACCAAATGTTCGCAAATATTATTGAATATTTTCGCAAGTGGCAGTGGGAACTCTCGAGAGTCAATGTAAACATAGGCTAAATAATGGTCACAAATAGCCGACGGTCATATTATGTTTACAGCATCCTACGACTTCTTAAAATTATCATATTCTAGTTAAAGAACAAAACAAAAAAAAGGGTAATAAAGAAATAGGATTTCCATATAGATATATGACTATACAATATATACTAATGGTCCCCGAATTTGCTTCTCGTTAATATATATATATATATATATATATAAATCCGAACCCCATTAATTGGGAGGAATTAAAAACCGGGAAGAAACTGAGCAGTACCTGAAAAATTCAACCATTTTCATACATCCTTGTCGTCTTAATATATAATTTCCTAACTTTATTATTATACGTGTATGTGCATTAATAAGGGCACGGCTTTCATATTCCTCCCGAGAAATTAAAATTTAAAAATAAAAAAAGAGGGGTACGACTTTGGGATGGAGTGTGTGAGAGAGAGCTGTCGTTTTCTATTACACCGACTTTGGCTCTCATATTATCCAAACGGTTTAGATGTTAATAATTAAGCGGTGGCTCACTCCATTAATGGTGACCAACCGGTGGCTGTTAGCAATCACTCAGAGGCAGTTCTTCCAAGTACAACGGTCCGTACCCGTGACTGTGACACACACACACAAAATAAACTGTTTTGCTTCTACTGCTATATATTCTCAAATTGCAATTTTTCGTTTTAATTGAGCTAACAAAATTGCATGCGGCTACAACTGATCATAGAATAATGAGATATTCGAACCCTCAACCTTAACATTGAAAACAAGAGTTATGGAGCCTAGATTTACCGTTAGATTATGTTTATAACTATAAGAATTAATAAATTCAACGTGTAATTTTATTTTAGAATCATACGACTTTTAAAAGTTATATCACCAGCACCAGTACAAAGATTAGATTTGATGACGATGGGTTTTAAAAAAAAAATGCATTTTTTTTTGAAATATTAGACGTACGAAAGTTTTCTTAATTAAAAATATAGTCCATTTGACATCGTTAAATGTAATAACTATATAGTAGTTTATATAGACCATTAAAGTGTATCTATAAAGTTTAAATAATTATGTCGTGTGATCACAAACTCAACTTAATAACAAATTTTAACTCATCTAAACTAGTAAGATGCTCAGCTCGAATAGCTCATTTCTTAATCGAAAGAGGAAAAAAAAATATAGAGAAAAAAGAGAAAAATTTCTAATGTTGCATACTTGAAGAAACTAATTAAATCTGAGATGTCTTAAATCTGGCTTTTATAACATTCCTAAACGAGGGTCAAAAGATACTTGAGCAGAAAAGGTCAAGTTGTAGATAATACATATTCAACCGCCCATTTTAAGCTAACCAAAAGACAAGTGGCATAAATATCGGTCTTTCTTTTCCTCTTCTCTTCATGTCATTGTTTACAAGTTGGGTTGTGGGAGGGCGAAATATATATATATATATATATATGTATATAATTATCATAAGAATTAAGAGAATTTCTCTTGCAGGACTAAGAAAATGAACTATTAGAGGTTTTTTAATTTTTAGTTGTTAGATTAATATCAGAAATTGTCTATTTTATATATATTTTTTAATCTAATGTAATTTTAATTAAATTTAACAGTTAGAAATTAATACTACTAATAAGAAAGTTTACCGGAGAAAATCTCAATAATAAAATGATATGAAATAGGGAACTAATGGAAGAAGTAGTGTAAGAATGATTACAATTTTAAAAAAAAAAATTGAAGTATGAGGATTTTTTTTTTTTTGGGTGAGATAGAAGTATTAGGAATTTGAACTTTAGTAATATACTGCAATTTGATGATTTTGACTGTTTTGATCATGCAG